TTATTTTTGAGAAAAAAAAAAAAAAAAAACAGGTGTGATAGTGTGTATAAAAAAATTTGAGATTTTTGATGGGGGATAGGGTACAATGTTGGGTGAAGAGGGAGGGGGTGGGGCGTCCTCATGTCCTCATGTATTGCATGCCTTAGTTGACCACGAGAGGAAGGAGCATTGTTCCCACAGGACCGAAGATCACCGATGGCCAATCGTTCCTTCCTATATCTACTTTGCCAAAGGTAGCTCACAAACGTTTTCCCTATAGCCTTTCTTATCCTATCGATATCGCTTCCCGCCTCTTCAACCTACTTCCTGCACCCTAGTACAGCTAACGTCGTCCCCTGTGGAGGGCGGGGGGGGGTCGAAATCAGCATGCGATGAACGGACGGGGTAGTGAGATAGCGATCTGCGACACCGCAACCGCCAAGTAGGAGTGTCAGCTTAGGCGATTGGGTAAGCCGCAGGGTGGTACCGAAGCTAATTAATATTTGAAATAGAGACGGGGTTCAAGTCCATACATGTATCCCTAACCCCCAACCCCCTACTAAAACCAAACTTGATATCCTCGCGAGGGCTACAGGCAGGATGCCGCGACCTCGAGATGTCAACAAATCCATGCAACCAGGCGTGCGCGGCGTGCGGGGGGGGGGGTTTCAGGGGCCGACGGACAACTTTAATAGTGTAACCGTCGAAACCTACAGCAAAATATATCAAGACCGGGGGGGGGGGTCGGCGTTTCGCCCAAAAGAGGAGAATGAGGCACCAAGCGTGAAGCACTCTGTCAATAGCAAGAGACGTGCAGAATGGAAACAAAAGCTTCGTCGTGGAGTAACGGAGCTTTGAAAATCGTTCCCGGGGGTGTGGTATCTTACGTCATGCCACCTACGGTGAAGGAAACCGCAACGAGGAACGAAAGCCCAAAACATCACCATACAGTAGAGGAGCCCCGCTTTGCGTGTATTTTTGGGCTGAAGAGAATCGAATCTCTTCGCCAAAGCTATCGTCAACGGAAGGACAATCAAGACGAGACAGACTTCCACGCCGGACAGGTTCGGCAGTAGCAGGAACATTGGTATGGTGGATAGCAACAGCAACAGCAGGGAACAGTATAAGTATTTAGTCGCGAGCGAAAGGAAATGACGAAACGTGGCGCACCTCGTCGACAAACCCCGGTTCCGCGACGAATTCTTCGCTCTTGGAGAAAAATCCCCCCCCGCCGGAGCTCTCCTCCTCTTCCTCCTCGCTCTCCACCGACATCGAGGCGGGTATCGCTACCTCCCCTCCCCCCGCACCCTCCTCCTCATCCTGCTCTTTTTCCTCTGTTTCTGCGACCGCGGCTGCCTGAGGGCACGGAACGGATTTGTAGAGAGGTTCCTTTTGGCATTTCGCACTCAGCGCGCGCGTTGTGTTATTTTTCTGATGCTGGCTCTCCTTTCCGGAGACCTTGATTTTGTACACTTTCAAGAACAGGCCGCCACTCGATCGGGTTTGGGTGTTCGTAAAGATTTAACAGGGGTCCCCCAATTGAACCATCTGTTTGGAACAGGGCCCGCGTAGGTGGCTGTCCCCCCCCCCCCCCCTCCCCGAAGCCTCGCAAATGCCGCCAAGCCGGGATTTGTTACGGAGTTCATGGGCTAACGGCGATGCGATCCGATTGCCTCACCGCCGCTACGGCGGTTGAGTAGGTGCCGCGGGCGTGATATGTAGCGCCAGCGAGGCAGGAGCCACATTCTCGGGCTAAAAAGGAGCCCTTGCGCCAACCCCGGGATTTGTGGAGTTCATGGGCTCACGGCGTTGCGATCTGGTTGCCTCATCGCCGGTGCAGTGGTCGAGCAGTTGCCACGGGTGTGACACCGGCGGCAAGGCAGGCACAACATTCTCGGGCTAAAAAGTAGCGCCCTTGCAAACAAGAAGAAAAGAGCTTCGCCTCCCACCCTCTTTGCCTTGGTTCCAACCCCTAACTCCTTAGGCGATGCCTGCATTGTTCTCCTCTACTAGAATACCGCAGAGGCCATGCGCCGGGAAAGCTTAACATTGGCGGGAATATGTACCCTTTAACACATGAGAAGAAGGTACATAGTGTGGTCTTAACAACGTTGTACGGGGTGCTAATTCGGAGTAGAACAACGGGAAGGCATGGGTCATCCCAGCAGTTTCGATCGAGGCACAATCCACCCCGCACCTGCGCCTGAACCTCCTTCTGCAGCGCCGCGATCTTTTCCTCCGTCGAGAGCTCCCGGCCCACGCCGCCTATGCTGTCCATGAAGTCGGTCGCCCCTCCGGATGTCGTCGGCTTCTTGGAGGAGTAGAGGCGGGAGGGGGGCCTCGGGCGTACCGCCGTCGCCGCTGCCGCTACACGGTGTGATTTTGCTGAGCGGGGTGGCGGAATAGGTGGGAGGGGGTCGTACTCTTTTATGTTTTGCATGCCTTAGCGGTTGGATCATTTGACCACGAGAGGACGGAGCATTGTTCCCACAGGACCGAAGATCACCGATGGCCAATCCGTTCTTTCCTTCGCTGCCAAAGGTGACTCAGACATGTTTTCCTGGGTCGGTCTATCCTATCGATATCACTTCCCGCCTTTTCAACCCACTTCCTATGCCCCAGTACAGCTACCGTCTTCTCCTGGCTATTCCATGCCTAAAACATCTCCCTGCATCTTCATTCTACTTTTCAAAGCTCAGTCAGGTACACTTTCCCCTCCTTCTTGTACAATGCACATGCCGTGGGGTGTACATGTTCAAGAGGGTGAAGGGGGGGTTCTGGGCAGGGAGGGGAGGGGTGTTGCTCCATGTTCCAGCTAGCCGGCGGGAGTGCCGTTGCTACGCTCTCTACACAGGTGGACCTTTGTTTTGGAGGGTAGGACGGGGGTGGGAGTTCGATGTTTTTTCGGACCTGATGTGCGGACAGGCAAATGCTTGATTTAGTTGATACCCGCAAGGTGAGCCTGCATAGCCTCGCTGTTGTGTTTTGTAAGTCCGGTCGCAAGTTAAGGCGTGATCCTGTATCTGTGGGTTGCGCTCTCCTCAATAAAAATCTGCATGCCCGCCCGAAGCTCCACGAGCAATGAATGCACACGCGATTTTTTTAGTGATGATTGACAAGGTGAGGCTCGACACCCGCCGGCTACTGAGTTGCGCGAGAGCTCTGCCGTCGGTTGCTGTTGGAGGTTCAAGGCCTCCACTTCAAAGCAGCTCGCCGTGGCGGCGGCATCTCGCAGGACTGTGGGCCAGACAAAATCCAACCAATAGTAGGTGCTGTTTGCGGAACCAATCAACGGACGCTGTGCATAACCCCCTTGTACTACTGTTCAGTCTGCCTTGGGGGGGGGGGGGGGGCAAAACTGGGTACACTGGGTTTCCCCCCCATTTACTCTCTACCCCATTCTTGTCCCCCCTTCGGACCCCCATTGCCTAAAACGGGATTGCACAAAGGGGGGCCGGGGCTCCTGATCCCCCCCCCCCCCACCGGCGGTGCACTTTTGCCCTCAAGCCTCAACTGCAAGAGAAAGGTCTAGTCAATCGTCCGAACACCGACCCAAACAAGTTGTACAGCTTGGAGACCGTCTCAAGTAGTTACTGTAGACACAAAGCAAACACCTTGGTACCCTACATCTGTACAAAATCAGCCACCTGTCAGGACCTTCGTGGGACACTTTCCTACTGCTGCTGTAAACGCAGCAGGACAAGTGCGGTCATGTCTGACAACTCCGGTCCCCCCCTCACGCCACTGCTGTCGGCTCAATTGACGAAGCACAAGAAAGCAGTGGCCGCAAAACTCGCCCGGGTTCTATGCGTAACCAGTGCGATCACGTGAATGGGCACTCAACATATGTGTGAACACGAGCAGCAAACCAGGCAGGTTGTTATTCGATGCCGATCATGCGCACCTGCTGCTGTAGCCGTCAACGCCGACGACGACGCCGGCACCACGAAGCCCAGCGCGCCCCCCCCACAGGAACACACCGCCAGAGCAACGCTCAACAAGAAGCCCGTTGCTCGGTTGGCCCTCGTCTTTGCCCTTGCAGCTGCCATCATGCCCCCGCACTCCCACCCTCGCTCCTCGCTGCTGACACAACACACACGGACCGCAACTTGATGTATGATGCACAGCAGCACCGCAGCAGCAGGCTAGGATTTTCAATCAGAGAGCTCAGACGGCGGGCGGTGTAGCCAGGCGTCTTTCCAGCAAACGGTACCCTAGAGAGTGCCGAGAGAAAGACAGAGCTCGGCTGTGCGTGTGCAGAGCAGGGAAAGCACAGCAGTACACAGCAACAACTGACAAGGTCAAGGGCTTAGGCCTGGCAAGCCCCTTGCAGGAGGGGGTCCGCCATTGCATTGGGGTATACTCCAATATAGATTTGGCGTCACCCCCACATCCAATTGCCGCGCTGCTGTGCGTTGCGGGTGGTGACGCCAGACATAGCAGAACCAGAGACTGTTGGCGTGTGCCGCGGGACAGCGGCGACTCCCGAGAAGGTGCGAGTTGGGTACACGACCTAGGTTGAAGAAAACTGGTGTAAGGGTTCATCCAGCGCCCGGCTGGTAGGCGTGTGTTGAAAGGTATCCAATTTCTGCCCCCTCGGAAGGTACGTAAACGAGGCCGCTTAGGCAGAGGGCGTACATCAAGCATGCGCGTTCCTTCTCCTCCTGGTGGACTACCGACAACATCGGAAAATTGTTCCGCATGATTTCTGGCATGACTCCCGCTCTCTGTGCTTCCCAACACGTGTAATTCTCCCAGACATGAACAGCAGTGCGGGGTCCCCGACAGCAGTCATGTGACAAGCATCGCTGATGCTGGACTCGTGCCCAAAATGTTGAACACCATGCAGTAGCAGTTTGTGATTGTTACGCACGTGCACAGCATGCTTGCAGGTTTGCGGTCAGTGGGCAACAGCAGTAGTAGTGGCCAACCATTCGGTAACCATATGGTGTGCGGTGGATGACCTCTCTGTGTCGCTACCCCCCTTTCCCGACAAACTCTTCTTTGCGCGGTATCACGTTTATTTGCGTTTTCCAAGAATGTTCCATCGCAACACGAGACTTCCACGCACACCAGCAAAGCAGTGGCCCGGTTTAGCGACCCGACGACTTGTGGCCGCTGTTCAGAGCAGGTAGCTAAAACCGAACTACCAATAACGTAGCAGCTATACTACCGGGATGCAGCGTGCGACTTGATTATGTGGTCACTAAACAGGGCACGTCGCCAAACAGGGGATGTCGCTAAACTGGCCCCCCTCAATACTTTTTATGCGGTCATTACAAATCCTGGAATCACATCCCCTGGCGGTCCCTCCGCATAGAGTTTTGGGTTATTCTGCTATACCTCTCGCTGTAGTGCTGATCCCTAATCGTGCACATCCGATATACCTTGCCCACACATAGAGACGCACACACCCCAATTTCTGTCAGGTTAGGTTGGGGTTAGGTCTTGAGCAAACGGCGTTGAAAGTCCGGTGCGTGCTTCCATGGCTTGGATTTCTATGATGTTTTCGGAGGTAGACGCATGATCGTTCTGGAAGCCACTTCTGCTGACTACTGGAGTCTAGACTTGAATTTGGGCCGACTTTCGCAGGTCAACCGGGGACGCTGTAGTGGAGATCCCTAATCGTGCACATCATGGATTCGTTCTATGGTCTTTTATCTCTACGATAGGCCAAGTATCGGGCGAATCGGGGGACCGTAGTGTTTCAGCAAACCTCGGTAAAAGTTGACTCCCAAGAGCTGAAAAGGTTGCGCGCAGCAGCAGAAAGCTGGTTCAACTCAGGTGTGATCGTGAGGCATTTCTCGCGTCCAAAGCAAAATCAAAGGGTGAAAACAGCTTTCCGGTGGAGGGTATGACCTGCTTGAGGTGCCCGTGTACTTTGGTGGCAGGCCGAGGTCTGTGTGAGGAGCACGAGGTGGTGAAAGAACTGGGCTCAGCCTTGTCCAATCTGGGGGAGGGGATGACATAAAATTGACCCCACTGAAACCAGCGGCGTGATTTTTTGTCCGTACTTTTTTTCAATTTCCTATAGGCCGCATCACGTGTGTGCTGTAGTTGACTTTTACTCACGCCGGCATGCATACAAGTCTTGGTAGACTTAAGACTTAGCAGACTTCTATTTTGACCTCTTGTACATACGAATAGGGTTTTTCAGTTCTTTGCGGGTTTCGAGGCTCCTCACTCCTCACCTCCCGGCCGTAGCAAACATCGCTGATACCCTTATTCTCGGGCCATGGCATCGACCGACTCCAAGAGCCGGAACAATACGAGAACGTCCGTGGTGTTGAAAGAACCCCCTCGAGGAGTGTACCCGCAAGAGGTAGAGACATTGCACCCCCCGCTTGACCGATTTTCAAAGCCGGATTGTTCCATAACCAGGCTTTTGCCAACGCCAAGAAGTTGTGGTTTTGGAAAACGTCTCTCTCGTCGACGGCTTTCCGTAGACGTATCGGGCTATTTCATTGACACCTTGGTCGTGGGTCGTGGAGCAATCGCCGGTGTAGGGGGGTGCCAGCTCTCCGCCGCTTGCGGTAGCCACGGTTCGAACGATTGTACTGCTGCTGTATGCGTTTGTACCTGCTGCGGTTTGGCAGCCGCGCATCCGCCCTCTAGCGCGTGGATTAGATTGTTGCCTGTGTCCCCCGTGGCTTGATCGAGGTCACGCAAGATTGAGAGGTCCACCTTGCGTCCAGTCTGTGGTCCAAATGGTTTGAAAATTTGGAGGTCAGATAGGATTACATTTGCCTAGATCCCCCATGGCTTCGAGGTAACACGAGATTGAGATTCCTGCATGTACCAACCCGTGGTCGAAATGGCTTCATATTTTGAGTATAGAGAGGGTTTTCTCCAGTTTTTTCTTCTAGAGGAAGAATATTTTTTCCCGTCAGCCGCCCCCCTCTCGAACGCACGCTGCAAGTAGTATAGTATTGGCAGCAAAAGATTCTACCATACACGAACGTTTGCCGACCAGTCACCTGCATCCCGTGACAACGGTATCTAACGCTTCCTGACTTACACCGCCATGTCCATCTCGACAACAATCGCCGTTCCACCGAGCAGGGCGGGCAATAGCCTCTCGGCACGATACCCACCCACACATCGCTATAGGCCTCTCCTCAAGACCATGGGGGCGTGGGTGGGTGGCGAATCGATCGCCCTCAACATCACCGCGGCAGTCGTGACCTTCGTCTGCGCCGGCCTAATATTCCGTCTAGGATGGAAGTTGTCCGAGGCGCGGGTGTGGCGGTTTAACTCCTTCGCGGACGTGAACAAGGCGGACTGGAGCGCAAGGTGAGGCTCGCACACCACAGCAGTAGTAGTACTTGGCCTTCTCGAACATATTTATTAGCTTGGTTTTAGTAGGGGAAGTTTGGATAGCCCTCTCGGATACATTGTTTAAGCTTGGTTGTAGTATAGGGGTTGAGTATAGCCCTCTGGAATATATTTTTATGCTTGGTTTTAGTAGGGGGGTTAGGGTTAGGGATGGGGATACTTGGTTTTAGCAGGGGGTTGGGGTTAGGGTTAGGGATAGGGATAGTTGGTTTTAGTAGGGGGGTTAGGGTTAGGGATAGGGATAGTTGGTTTTAGTAGGGGGTTAGGGTTAGGGATAGGGATACTTGGTTTTGTAGGGGGTTAGGGTTAGGGATAGGGATAGGGATACTTGGTTTTAGTAGGGGGTTAGGGTTAGGGATAGGGATACTTGGTTTTAGTAGGGGGGATAGGGTTAGGGATAGGGATACTTGGTTTTAGTAGGGGGGATAGGGTTATGGATAGGGATACTTGGTTTTGTAGGGGGTTAGGGTTAGGGATAGGGATAGGGATACTTGGTTTTAGTAGGGGGTTAGGGTTAAGGGATAGGGATACTTGGTTTTAGTAGGGGGTTAGGGTTAGGGATAGGGATACTTGGTTTTAGTAGGGGGGATAGGGATAGGGATAGGGATACGAACCCCTCCTCTCTATTTCAGGTTAATAATAGTATCCTCGCGTGGGCAGTCCGAGGGCTTTGCGTGCCTTGTACCGATCTGTTTGGAAATATAAGGGCCTTTCGGTCCCAATCGTGAACATCCCAATGGCCCCTATATTTCCTAAAGAGGGTGGTGTGTTCGATGGCGATAGGGTTGAAGGCGTGAAATATGAATGTACTCGATGAGTCTTTATATTTTCGAACAGGGTGGTGTGTTTGATAACGATAGGGTTGAAGGCGTGAAATATGAACATCCCAATGGTCCCTATATTTGGAAACAGGGTGGTGTTTCCGATGGCGATATTATTGAAGGGGGGCCCCGCACGAGACAGGCGCGCCGGGGAGGGGGGGGGGGGTTCAGGAGGCCTTGGGTGTGAACCCGGCTCCGCCAGGAGGGCTGACGGGGGAGATACGTGATTGTTGCAGAGATCATACGGCAAAAGTGCTTTGCAAGTTCGTTTGTGGTGTTCTGACTGAATATTTTGCTGGGGCGCACCTCAAGTTTGGTTATGAGAGGGCCTGCTGCATACTTGTAGTGCCATGAAAACGAGAACTGCTTCGAAATTTTATTTGATACAAACAACGGTCAAGAGGGGTATCGGTTCCCCCTCTTCTTTGCCGACAAGCCCGCCCGACTTAACGCCACCACCCGATGCGGTCTTTCTTATCCGTCCGACGTTTGTGTCAGAATAAACTCCACGATCCACGCGGGCTTGGTGTGTACCCTGGTGACGATCTGCCTCCTGACCATGTCGTTCGACCCCGTGACCCTGGTGCCCTTGGGCTCAACGGTCCTCCTGGAGATCACCTTTAGCATCTGTGAGTGCCACGGCCGGTTGCCTGTCATCTTAGGGTTACGGGTCGCGCGTAGATGCTCGGGGTGTCTAGGAATACGGCGGTGGTGGGGAAGCCGATAGTGACCGCCTTTATATGGGGCAACCTCCTTGTTCAAAGTGAAGACCAACTTAGTTGCTCCGTCTATGCCAGCAAGTTTCACCAGCCTTGTATAGAGCGGCCTTGTTCAGACTGTAGCCCGCCGCCAATAAGGAGGTGTGTCTGCTGAGTCCCGTGGGCGGGTGTGGTAGCTTCTGCACCCCGAGCCCCTTCGTGTATTGTTGCAGCCCCCTCCCCCCCCCCCCCCTCCATTTTTTTTGTTTTCATTTTCATGCGTATTGCTTGTGGTTTTTTTAGATGAAGCGGATCTTAACAATTCCAGAAAGGTACAATAACCCCTGCTGTTGAGAACTTGCGCCGTGGGCGCCAAGTCTTCATCCCATGTGTTGTCGTATTCAACTCTTCGGATGCTAACGTTGTTTATTCCTCTTGTGGTCTAATCTCGTCTAACCTTGTCTAATCTCGCCCCCTTCGCATGTCTGTCTGTCTGTCTGTCTGTCTGTCTGCTTCTCTCTCTCTCTCTCTCTCTCTCTCTGTCTCTCTCTCTCTCTGCCCCGCTTTCCAAGCCATCGGATACTTCTTGTTCGACCTCAGCGTTATCCTGTGGTGGATGCTGCCCATGTGGACCGTATTCGTGGCGCATCATGTCGTTGCCCTGTGAGTCGATTAGCCCCTTCTGAACCAGCCCCGCCTTTTTTTTTCCCCCACCAAGCGGCAATGCTTTGCATATTTTTTCAGCCTCTTTTTTCGTAGAACTGTTTTTTTCCGCGGAGGAACACATATGGTGCGGTCGTGGCGTCGCCGTCCTCTCTACGGTTTCCGGCCCGTGGGAAAACGTTTTTTTGGGGGTCGGGGGGGGGTTGTTTGTGTTGTGGAGCGTGTAGACCCTGCGTTCATGTATGAATCCTTTTCTGCTTGTTGGCGATGTTTTAAACTTGTAATCCCTTTCTTGTGTGCATGTATGCATGAATCCCTGGTTGTTGGCGTTAAGCTTGTAGACCCCCTCTTGTATGTATGCATGGATGCGTGCCAGAATCCTTTTCTACTGAAATGACGGCGGTGAGGTTGTTGTGCGCGTTCATCCGCTCCGTCGACCCACCGGCAAGGCTTGCCTCCCAAACGGCTTTCATTTACGTCGACTCACGCCCGCCCTTAACCACTCCTATCCCAGCACACAAATCGATCCTGGAAATCTTAACATTGTGTATACGACACCGCTCATTCTCCCCCCCCCCCCCCCCCGGGGTTGCCCACCGGGGTGGGGTTTCCTCCCCTGGGGATGAACTTGTAAAAAAAACCCCCCCCCCCGGGGGTTGCCCACCGGGGTTTGGTTTTCCTCCCTTGGCAAACAACTTTTAAAAAAAGCCCCCCCCTCCGGGGTTTGCCTCCGGGATGGGGTTTTTT